CATTAGCCAAATTCTAATGCTTAGTAATTAAATACCTCGTAGACAAGTAACGCATATACATCATTCCCTTACACAGGGAGAAAGGATAATCGATTTAACTGCTCAAATAATTCAAATTGCATTTCAGATACCATCCTACAAATGAACCTCATATTTAGCACAAACAAACTTTCTTTTTAGATTATTAGCGAATAGTTATTAACTAATTAATTATCCTGAGTTTTCTGATAATGAAGCGCAAATTCTCGAGACAATTAATGGCGTTAAAAGAGGAAATTTTGCTGCAGATTTTCTATAATTAACTGCAAATATTATGATACAAATCAAAATTTATTAAAATTACTCACCACGTCTTTCTTTTACATAATAAAATTATTATTATTATATAATAATATTAAAAAGAGAGTTATTAGAGCATAAGTATATTAAGGAGATTAATCAGTTATTAGCACAAAATTTGCAATAGAGTTCAGAAGCTAATGAAAGGAATGAATAATATTTATTTAGCGTTTAATGACACTAAGTATCTTGAGAGATTCTGTGGAAGCGTTATTAACTAACTTAAGTTTAATACATAGTAGAAGATGCGTTATTATTATATACTTAAAACAAAAACTGTAAAACATTCACTCAACATTAATGAAACAGAGAATTATAAATCTACACCTTTGAGGCTCTTAAGTTGTTAAAACCTTTAAAAAAAATTTTTTTTGAGTAACTGTAATTTCAACTCTTCATATTCCACAAAGTATACAAAATAAAAACCATTAGATTTTTAGATTTAAAAGAAGGTACAATAAATAAAGATAAATTACTAAAAGCATGTGAAATCTTCTTTCTGCCTGATATATATAGAAGTATGTATATTATATTGATATATATTACTGATATATAATATACTGATATATATTAAAACCATTTTAATTTTATATAAATAGAAAATATGAATAAAAAGCATACAAAAATTATATTTTACATTATTTTCTGAACATCCATTTACAGTAGTTTCCTTTAGAATTTTATGATGTTCTGGTTTAAGTTCCTCTCTTCTCGATCTACACAGAACCATTATTTCTTAATTAATCACACAGTTTTTTTATTAATATTCGCAATAAAATCGTGTATTTTGTTAGAACTTATCATTCTAATATGATCGAAAAAAAACTACTTTTATCTCTCATCGTGATGAAGTTTAAAAATTCTGGTAATTTCCACTAAAGGGATAGCAACTATCGCCAAAAATAAACGTTGGCGGGTTATGCAGCTTGAAATAGTAATTAAGACCCCAATGATATTTCAAAATGTCATAGGGGTTTCAAAATACAGTGTGGCTATTTGAACAGTCTTTCATTACAGAAATTTTTCTGGAATATAACAATATTTGGGGTTTATAACGACACATTTCAGAATTTGGCATTTGGCAAATAATAAACCTCACCTCGGTTCCGAAAATTCTCACACGCAATTCGAGCCTGGACCCAAACATGTTGAATCATAATGTTTGGCGCGGTTCGCGGCATACTGGCGCGCTTGCGCATAAGCCTTTCCACTAAGAGTTGCAATTATCTTCAGCAAGGAAAAATGGTCCCCCAAAACCTAAAATGCACAACAGGCAATATAACAATCGCAATAGAAACCATAACTGTGAATTTACTAATCACGAACGTTTATATCCCACCAACAGCCGAAGCGCAAAGCCTCCTAGACGTGCAATAAGACATTCTTCAAGATTTGTCAAGGGCGTACCACTTATTAGCAGGCAATTATAATTCGATTATAATGCCATGTGTTGTAGTAATTCGAACACTTATGGAAACATGGGGATACTCAGATATCGACACTAGGATACGTCAAATACAGTACTTTATAGCGTGCAACGATCTTGACCTCTACAATAATCCCGGTGACCACCAAATATTTGAAAGAAATCATGAAAAAGGTTACCCGGATTAAACCATAATAACGAGAGCCCTTGCACCCAAATTACAAATCTTTGAACAGTTCAGGAAACACCGTCGTGCTCAGACCATAAATATATAACGCATACCATAGGGCATCAACATGCAAAGTATACTGTCAAGCGGTACAATCTCACACGTAAGAAGTTAATGATCTTCAGATAAAAAGCCCAGGATGTTCTTCTGCGAACAGAGCAAGCAATGGAAGATAGCCCGAACACGAGTCACCTAGATAATGTGACTAAACGTCCTAATACAGCACCTCTAATCCCTATGGGACTCAAAATTTAGAATCAAATGCTCTTTGCGGTGCAAATTGGTGGACTAAAAGTCTTAGATCACAAAGAACTAAGAACAGATCCATGCGATGAAAAAATGAAATTTGAAAGGGTTCCGGGAAGGACCAAACTTAGCATACGAAAAGATGCAAGCGGAATACAAAAATGCCATATTAAAGGCTAAAATAGCTGGAATTTTTCCTTACCTCAAAATCAGGAGACATACGAAGTACTGCATAAAATTGCAACAAGTAAAGTCTTCACCCCCACGCATCACAGACTGTAGCCTGACAGAAGCACCTCGCATAGCATTACGGGTCATAAGACCACCATGGTTGAAACATTCACTAAGATCCTTAATGGAATATTTGGGGACGAACCGCCTGTCGGAGGTTCCCAGCACAGAGCATCTGGCATACAAAAGTGATCTGCAACAGACAATAACGCTCGTTTTACCCAACTAGAAATTACTGCAGTTATGGGAATACTTCCAAACAGAAAGGCTTCAGGATCGGACTCCTTTGATTACCACAAAGTCAAGGCACTGCACCAAACAAAAATGAGCTTCTTTAAGATGTATTATAATACGCTGCTAGACTCGCACTACTTCCCCAATACTTTCAAGAAGGTGAAAGTACTAATCCTGTTACAAAAGAAAGACACAGATCCCGACAGCCCAGCCTCCTTCAGGCTAATCTACCTGTTATCAGCAGTAGGAAAGGTCTACAAAAAAAACTCTTGGTTCAAAGAACTAAGCACAATTTTGAAATAAAAGGAATAATCTCGAAGGCGCAGTATGGCTTTCGAGAGCAGCGTTCGATGGTTTATCCATTATGTACTTTTCAAAAATAAATACATGCAGCAAACGAATCTAACCTCCCTGTTGCGATACTTAGGCTTGATTTGAAAATTGCATTTGACACTCCGTGTTGGCCAACTACCCTGGAGACACTTCACTACTCTCAAATCCCGAATAATCGCCTACAGGTGTGTTAAAGTTATCTCTCAGACCGCAGCATAGAAGAGTCTTTGAGAAGAAGAAAACCAGAGGCTGCTCCCGGGGGTCGTACGCGAGACCTGATCTGAGAAACGCATCTTTAATTCGATCTCTAAACACAGTGGCCTATACATACAAAAGTTATAAACTTTGCGAATGACGCAACATTTGAAATCAAAGGAAGAACGAGAGACGATCTTCAACAATTTAGCAACCTGACAACAGAGCTATATGGAAGGGTCATAAAAAGAGTAAAAGAACTCAAACTCCTGGGATTAACAACTGACGAAGAGCTCACCTGGATCTCGCACTTACGGGCTGCAAGGCTGAAGACTCAGGTAATAGAAGAAAGAAATCTATGCAGTATGCAGGGCACGGATAGGGGACTTAACGCCGCATATTCTAAAAATTCTTTACAACGCAGTAATAGAAGAAATAGTCACTCACGCTGCAGCTGTCTGGGCTTCCTTGATGAATGCAAGGAAAAAACAAGTCTTGTGCAGCATCCAAAGGCCCTTTTGTTGGCACGGATGGCCAGATAGGATGCAGCTTTAGTGTCGAGAGGCAAAGAGAAACTCTCGAGGCTTGAAAGGGCCATATGCGCTAAGGCAACTGAGTGTTCCCCGCGGAAGCCGATGTCTTGAAACAGGCTCTTTTGTATTCAGTCAACCACAATAAACAAAGAAATCATATCTTCACAGATAACCTCTCAATCATATTTGCAATCAGGAACCCGTAGCATACAGGTAGCATAACAGATGAAATTCAGACAATTCTGAGGAAAAGACTTCCCCATTTCATATCTTCTGAATAAAGGCACACATCGGACACCAGGGAAATGAAGAGGCGGACGCGCTAGTGAAGGAGGTCACACACGATCTAGAAGCCCAAGAGCTACAGGTCCCAAAACTGAAAAGCAGTGTTAAAACTCAGAGCATGGACGGGTGCCATGGCTCACTAGGCAGAAAGAATGCGATGTCATCCCCCAGGGCTTAAGAAAACCCAGAAGACTTCTCGATTTCATCCATAAAGTAACAGCAGACAGACTGATCTCAGACCTTCTCTTAACGCGTTTCATTACGGGACACGCGCCATTCCCCAGCTGCTTCTACAACAGGAACCTCGCAACAACCTGCAACTATGTATGTGGAGAGGCTGGCGTTCCTGATCATTATCTCACTAGCTGTCCTCACACACAGGAATTCCACTATGCACACCCAGCAAGCAATATAGCTGAATACAAATGATATCTCATAAAACAGCAGTTTACATAAAACAGTCTCATAACTCATAAAACAGCTAATCTGTATCTAATATACCTTCATGCAATGTATGTGATATAATGTATATCTGATATAATGATAATATATCATCGGTATATAAAGATATGTATGTAATGTATCATACAGAATAGCAAATGCTATTGCCGGCACTCTGAAAACCTATGCTTAATGTGTACTAGATCCACGTGCATTCAACCTAAGCTGTATTAGATATATGCCCAACAACTGTGAAATGTACAGATTCTCAATAACGAGAATGATGCTCATGTATGGCTATGTATACCTAGACTTTAGTGTAAAAATATGCCAAAGCGGCCCTCGTAGAACTTCGGGAGGACGTTTCTGTAGATAGTTGCGGGCTCCGGACTATACAGGAACAGTCTGTGAAAGCCTTCCGGGTGCCCGGAACTTGATCTAACTGTAAACTGTATTTATATGCCTTAATCACACTATTCTCATTTGGAAAAACATAACGAAGTCTTACTTGTTGGCGATTGTCTTTAGAGTAAGGCAGAAGGGTAGAAACGTGAAACATTATTTCATGGCCCTCATATATTGTGTACGCAGAATATTTCCCTGTCATATCACCTGAAACATATAAATGCAATTAATTAATATGAAAAGCACATGCAATAAACATTTACATTTCACAATGCATAATAAAAAGATACTGTTTTTCAAACATACATGCAATTCAGATGATGTTACGTAACAATGCATTTATATAAATCTTGTTTACACTGGTATTTCTCTATGTAAACGCATAAATCCATGGATTAGTTTTCCCATTATATCTTAGTTTTAAAATATTAGTATTAGAAGACACTTAATTTTAAAATATAAGTATTAGCAGAAAATCTACAATTTGCATATATATTTAAAATAAGATGAAATATTTAGAAGTTCTTTGGCCCAAAACTTATCAATCAATGGGGAATATTTCCAGTTATCACATGATTTTATAAATTATCCAACTGAGCATTCAATATTACATGGAATGTCGTAAGAATTTCAACAAATAACTATTAAATCATCATAACGAATTTTCATATACTGTAAACAATGGTGACTCTAATTCAGTTCGAGTGATGTGCTTAAGAGTAAAATGGTCAGGGAACCAACATAATTTAGATTCTTTGTGGTATAGATTACCATATATGAACGAACTACGAATATTAATTTTCCCCAAATAACCTCATAAGTTAAGGCACTCCTGCCTACGAGCACTGTTGAGGATATTAATGAAGGACCTTTCATTAATATCGTAGAAAATTATACCTATTTTCTTCGAGAAGATGTAATATGTTGTTGAAAGTGCGGCTAGCAAACTTCCATTAGCATCCTCCATGCACACAAACGAATTGAGTTCTTAAGATATATTTGAACTTGAGCTAAAAACACTTTATTTAAACTATTTAGGCGTTCAAAAAATATAAAGCTTAGGCATTTAATGCAAGAAACTTTCCGGATAAGTGTATGTAATTCGTTTCTTTCTGAAAATATTCCCAGTTATCAGCTGAAAACAAATGTGTACCTACTTTCGAAAAACAGAAATGTTCATTAGCTATTTCTCCTGTATTGCACATTTTTGTAAACGTCATACTTTATAAAGAAGGTTTATGTGTGCTAGTTTTACGATCACAAAACGATCAACACCTTGCACAACACTTTTCTGACAGAAAGAACACGGAGCTTTAAGCAATCTCCTTTAATAAAATAGATTCATCTAATTGAAATGGATGTAAATGACATCCGTTGAATATATTACATAAAGTCAGCCCTCCACGGTTTGCGACAATGGGGGGGGGATGTTATTGATTCAGGAACGGCGGAATACTTGAAGCCACACTGACAAAATAGCAGTGATGTACAGTGCATTGACATATGGCACTGGCACTGAAATGGATATAGTGCAAAAATCTTCTTTCGATTTTTAATAGCAATTTTGTCTTCAACGAACTCTTCAACGAACAACTGTACAATAACAATAATAATTTTGTCTTTTTCATCCTTTCAATCAAAGTGCTTTGCTGAAATGTTGAAGGATTAGACTATGGTGCATTTCATATTTTCAGAGCGGCAATGAACGTGATTTAACGACGCAGAAAACGTGACGTGTACGTACTTTGTTCTATAACTCCGTATTCTGAAGTACTTTTTCTTTCCAATGAACTAAAAGGCACTCAAGCTATACTTCCAGTGTTATCTATCCAAGTATGTGAAATATTTTGGATATATTTATGACAGTTCAGTATGTTTCACTATAACTTTGAATGATGTGATCTTTCATATATTAACTTACAGTCAGGACACATAGCTGAATTTTTGCCACTAAGTACATCGAAGTACAAATAAAAACAAGTGCAAGAAGGCAACTTTTATGACTGAAATGTCATAAAAGTTCACCTTGTGAAAATAAAATTCAAATAAACCTAGAGTTAACAACTACAAATGTCTAGTGTCTGTAAGAACTATTCAAAGTGTAAAAGTTAGTCTAATTTGTTTTACTACTATCGATGTTGGCTCCAGATAAATCGAACCGAAAATGGAAGGCTTCACTTGCTTTGAATTTGGTTCATCTTGGGCCACTCGATGCCAGTCTATTATTGAATATAATAATTTCATTTTAACAAGATATTTATGAGAACGATTACTGCATAGTAATTGTTCAATAACAATATTAATTCCTTAAAGAAGGATGATTTTTATTTAGGTTTTAAGTTACCTCTTTCTTACCTAAATAAATGACTACTTGACTAATTCATTCAGTAATTCAGAAATTCACTACTAAATACTAATTCAAATGTTAACTAAGGGAAGCATTGAAAAATAATCTCCTTTAATTTGCATACTTTTTAATAAGCTTGGAGGAAAACAAGCTGACTGGCTGAAAATGTTTTAATTAGCTTAAGTATGTATGGGCTCATTACAATAAGCTGAAAATTCTAGCCTAATCAGAAAGTAGCAGATAATTTTCCACTGTAAAATGGCTGATTGCGGAGATGTCGTCATTTACGGAAGTTTCAATAAGTTGCGGGAACCTCTTGAACCTCTAGTAACTCTTCAAAGGATGGTCTTACTTCCTAGAAGATTAGGCTAATATACTATTGATCATATGACACATCATAGAAACATACGAATTTAAAACACACATGTAGTTTTCGTTGAAAGAGGAAAGGATTCTCATTAGGAATTATTCTTCTAGAACTAACGATTGTTTTTGGAGGGAATGTTTCTGTAGATGAGAACGTGACAGCCAACTTCTGTAAAAATATTTATCAAGTATGAAAGACGTTTGCAGAAATATGAAATCCCTCAATTTAACATAAGTAGTTATCTTTAACACTAGCTAAAATTATTTACTCTCTGATAATGACTCAGCTGGGATAGATGGAGTCATTTTGATAATATGAAAATGTGTTTCCTTTTTTTCGGGGGGGGGAAGACTCAAATAAAACTAACTTAGCTAAGCAAAAGGTTTCCATTTCAGAGAACATAAACTTTTTCTTTAGTACAGGTTCTAGAAAAAGTTTAGAATACTTCTATTAAAAGCAGCTTCATAACAGATACAGAATGAAAGCTTATTTTATTTTATTCATTTCTTAAGCTGCGACGATGTTTCTACAACTAACCGTTCAAAAGATATTTAGTTGTGTACTGAGTCTGATATTCCTAGTACATATATATATGTCAGCCATACTTATAAGAAAGTAGTATTGAGTTTTCAGGTTAAAAGTTTCGTTTACGTAGTACATTAAATCCTTTTCAGTTTAAACTTCTCTTCCAACTTTCCTTATCTAGCTATCAAAATCCTATTTTTGTGTAATGTACTTTTTTATCATACGTAAAAGAAAACTTATTTTTCACAAGATAAAATACGTAAACCAATATTATTTCAACGACTTTTCTTCCAATACTTTTTTTACAGCGGAGACTCATGATCCAATTCTTTCCACTTTTTCTACGAAACATTTTTTATTTATTCCTCACACAAAATCCCTGCCCGTTCAAGCTTCTGGAAACAGAAGTTGCAGGTTTTGTAGGGATCTGAAAACTTCGTTTGATGAAAAGTGGTGGGAATTTTATAGATTTTCAAATAAGTTTCATTTCATACCTGAAATCAATTTGCTTTATTGACTTTTTCTGATATTGTTTCATTTTCAAGTAAAGGCGATTTACAAAGGCGTGTTTTCCTATGATATTAAATAAGAATGGATTTATATTTTTTGTATTAAAATAACTGAAAATATTAAAAAAACACGAAGCTCGAAGGAGGAAAGTACAGTACGAAGTATATTGCAGTACATATGGAATATATGGCAGTATTACGAAATAAATTTAAAGTAATTGCTGAACACATCAAATATATATATATATATAATTAAAAAATATATTCATAAGATGCCTAAAAATTAATATCTAAATCGTATAGGAAAATGTTTCAGCGGCCCAGTATTAAAATTAAGAACCTCTTCATTTATAGTCACGCTTTAATGATCTTCAGTTATTGAACGTGTTTAATTTTTGCATGGAAGTTCTTGTATAACTTAATCCTCACGAATCGCAGCTAAAAGTACATTGTTCCTTCGCTCGTAAGAACTAACATCAAAGGAATACACATACACTTCTCAGTAGAGAAAATGTAACACCATAAAAGACTGGGTAGAATATGATGTCAATTGATACACAGAGAGAGCCTTTAAAGTACAGATTCAATTAGTGTGAGAATAGTGTCCTGACGTATGGAAACCCATATGATTTGAATCCTCCTCAAACATTCGTCATCCGATAACGGCTGGGGCCAAGCAAACAAACAATGACTAGTCACGTTCCAGATATGCTCGGTAGTCGAAAGATCATGGGATATCGAATATCTCAAATCAAGGAAGCAATGGGATAAGCTGCAAGGCTTGCAATTGCTGAAGGTTGAAGTAGCATTACGTATGTGCTGTCATCAACGTATCGTCGTGCACCAGTGTGCGTCTGATTCGTCACAATTGTGAACTGCTATTGTTATGTATTAATTGTCTATTAATTTCAAGCTTTAAGTTAATGTGCTTCTTATTCGCTTTTGATCAGTAATTGAAGTTATTAATTTTTGCTTTAGTTGTTTAAAAGTTAATTGTAAGTTTTAAACTATAACTTGGTAAACTTTAAATTTATGTTTGGTTGTTTTAAAAGTTTTTATTATTTAGGATTATCATCAGAAAAACAAAACTGAGATCCGTTGCTGAATTCTACATTGTGCCATTCAGATGTTCAATTGGCTTGTTGACGACACCATCATAGTCTTTCGCGTTAATGGCAGCATTTGCAAAGGGCAGATAGTGTGCAAGACGCTTTCAGTCAAACGTCGGGAAATTAATAATGGAGCATCCAAAGCTCCATAATGCTCCATCCAAAGCTCCAGATAATGGAGCATCCAGAGCTCCCGCTCATTCTACAAAATGTTCTCGATTGTGAGTCAGCCACCTCTTTTCTTCGCATGCCTCAACCTGTGAACCTGTGCACTCTGTAGTACGTCTAGATAGACCTGGTTTTTGGCGACTATTTACATTTCCTTCATCGGATCCATCTAGACCACATTTTATACACAATGGCTACATCTACGTGCGTTTCCGCACCAATACGACGGTAAGACCAACTAGCCGTATATAAGCCTACAATTTGACTCCCCATAAAATCATCCATTTATCGGAACTGCCTACAGTTTGTCGTTCAGACATCTCTTCATTCACACTTTTCTTCTGGTACTCTGAACTTCTCGAAATTTTGGATTTTTTAAGTAGCATAGAGTAGCGACTGTTAGTTCGTCCGCCGTTCTCTTCCGTTTTATTCTGTACTACAATCAGTTGACCAACTTTAATGTTACATCATCTGCATGACTTGTTCCCAGGGCTCTCGAGTCGGAGTCATGGAGTGAGAATCGGAGTCGGGCAGATTTTGGGGCAAAAAGAGTCGGAGTTGAAATCACTAAAAACAGGTCGACACCGACTCCTACTCCAGGTTTTGATGGACAGGAATTGAAAAATAATTAATGACAACCTGAGTTATTATTTTTATTTATGGACTACATACATTAAGTAGTTATTTTCTATTTTACTGACAGATTAATAAATAAATATGAGGAGAATGGATGTGATATTTGCCATTAGTGATTCATTTAGTTACAAATCTCACTGATAAATTTAGGTAAGCAGCAACAGCAGCAAGAACTCCCAAAATTGATGCCATACATAGGAAGAGAGCAGGAAAAGGAGCAATTATTGATCAAGCAATGCGATAAGGAAGTACATATTTGATGATAAAGAGGTTGTTAGAATTAAGAACTTTTTTAGAAGATGTAGATAACCCTAATGCTTCACTAACAGAAAGACTATGGAAATGGTTTTGCAGAATAGGAAACTCTTTTACCTTCCCCGTATATAGCCACAAAAAAGCTGCAATATAAAGAATTAACAGGAGGCGAGAATGGAAGAATGTGAAGTTTTTCTTTCTGAAATGGAGGGTTTATTGCAGAAGTAATCATTTCTTCAAGAGAAACTAGTTTACTAAACAATGAGATCTTGCTGGTTTTTAATATATATGTAGGTTCGAAACACCGAATTTTCTTGGATGACGAACAACTTAAAAAGGCAAGGAAAGCCATCTATGAACTTTCATTAAGAATGAAATTATTCTCAGAACAATTGGAGAATTTGAATAAGGACAGTCAAACTGCAGACATTGCAATTAAATTTCTATCATCCTCTTCCAGTGATGAATTAGATTTCGAGAAATATATTTGGATAATATTTAAAAGGCTAAGGCAAAGCGAATGAAAATAAAGAACAAAGAGTCTTTCGATATAAAAATTACAAAATACAAACAAGATTTCTACACGGCCTTTGAATAAATAGAGAAATATGATTGTCTTTTTTAGAACTTATAAAAATCTATGCAGAAAAGTTAAAAGAAGTAACAACTAACAGTAACAGCTCTTCCTCCTACTCAAGTTAGTGTGGAATGATTCTTCTCAGCTCTGAAGTTTAGCAAATCGGATCTATGGCCCTCCAACAAAGAAGATCTTCCCGAAGCTATACTGTTTCTTGAAATAACTAATGCCAGTTTTCCATTTCATAATAAATGCTAATTAATATAAATAATTTGCTATGCCACCAAATTTTTTTTTCCTGTAGCATCTATTACTTCTTTTACATTAAAAAAATAAGCTGTAACCCATGTGTATATGTTCACATATGGGGAGTCGGAGTCTTTAAAATTCCAGAAGTCGGAGTCGGTCATTTTCCCTACCGACACCACAGCCCTGCTTGTTCCGCTAGGTGCTCTCCAGAATTTGCATACTTATACGGCCGAATCTTCATGGTGCTGCATTTTCTACGTTGGGCAATGCATAAAGGAAATTATATGTCTAACCAATGAGAATATACCAGAATTTACTTGTTTCATTTGAAAGAAATATCATCCATTGCCCATATACGTTTTCAAAATGGTTCTGTTTTAGTACTAATGAAACAGTAAATGGAGATGCATATTACTGAGATCCGTTCACATACATGAAAGTAATCAAATTTGGGAAACTAAATAAAAAACTCGTACATGAAAACTCTCATTCTTCTATGTAATTCATCATTTTGGTAAAACCCAGAAAAGATTTCTGCTCAGATATTTATTGCAAAATAATTTGACAATTATAATACGAATTAAATACGATGCAACGCGTCTCTTTATGTAAACTTTTTGTGAGCCTCTGCATCTGCGAATCACTCATATCACTGAAAATTTAAATATTTAAGCGAAAATAAATTTCAAATTGCGCTTTCGGATAGGAAATAACATCACAATGATTTTCGGTAAAGTTATCAATCAGTTATTAAAAAGAAAACACTTTTTATCTAAGGTGTTTTATTACTTTATTTCTCGTCTAAGAATTTGAAAGTTCCAGTGTGTAGGGCTCCTCACTTTTACCTTGTTAAATGTAATGTCGAGGAATCTAGTGAACTACTAAGCAAGATTAAGTCCAAGAACAGAAACGTAAATTCAAGAAGGGTTCAATTACCCTTTATTTGCTCAAAATAAAGACAGTTGGCCACTTCCTCAGGACATACAACAAAGCCTCCACTCGGACTTAAACACAAAATGGAAGATATATGAACTAACTAAAGAGATTTAGCCGAAGCTAACAGAATTCTAAACTAGTTGGCCCGTAATATTAACTTAGCCAGCGAAGCTATCAAAAGGCACGTAATACGGCCGAGCGTAGTAACAGTTTAGAGTAGTAACAGTTTAGGGTAGTAACAGTTTAGAGAGACGTAGCCAAAAGACAAACTCGCGCTATTAAGGAATCCTAACTCTCTCTCTCTAAGTCAGTGGAACTTATAGACTTTCTATTTCTCATTGGCATTTAACGCGATTTTAAAAACACATTCTGGTAAGGAATTGTAACCTGAAGCTAGAAGAGATAGAAAAGTGTCATAAAATAATTGTTATAAAATTAAAATATGCCTTACAAGTGTGTAATGAAAGTGATTCATAAAAATATTAACTGTTAAAATATACTTAAATCGTATTCTCCATTTAGTGAATTACACAAATGGCCATTTTGTGCTTCTAACTTTTGATTAATGACCTGCATCACTATATTTAACGCTTTCCATAGCGCTGGTTTTTCTTTCATTACAATATAGCAGCTATATGCACATGTACGATAGTTTAACTTGTGATCTGTTACAACCTTCTTTCAAGCACCGTAATTACAAAACTATTGTCATTTATTCTACGAAACAAGTTTCTCGATTCGTCACAACCTTACAGTTAGCTTGCTCATTTTCTTCTTCTAACCTTCCTTCTAACAAGCATGGTGACATAAAACTTTACTGGTTTAAACGCAATTACTTACTAATTGCTTATATATACGCAAAATAGAAGTTTCTTTGATAGCATGCTAAAATTATTTATAATTTTTTTCACTTATTCTATGACATACATGTTTTAATGCATATAAAATTCAAAGAAATCCTTCTTAAAAGTTGAAAAATGTTAACATAATAAAGATAAGCTCGTTAAATTACAATAGCCTCATTTTCCCCAATAATTAAAAAATTGAAACAATAAATCAATAGAAGGAAATCCTTTTCTCTTATATAAAATGTATCTCGTATCTATTCTTCCGAAATAGTTTTGCACTTTCACACAGTTTGCGAAACACTGATATAGAAAATGTATACAAGAAAGCAAAGTTTTGTTTCTAGCATATATGAGTGTATAATAGAAACCTAAGTTTTGATACTTATTAAGTTTAGCTGACACAGAATCCCCACAGAATCACAGAATATTTAATCCTCGTTAGATAGCCGTACTTAATAAAAAAGTAAATGAACAACAATATGAAGGCAGCTAGTTAATTTTTAATTAGATAAATTAATTTTAGTAAATTAATTTCATTAAGTATTATTTATTTAACGTATTTTTGTTAATTATTGTGTTATTTCTCCTGAAAGTACTTTTAGTAACAGATAAAAAGAAACTAATAAAAGCATCAACTAAAGCTAAAAGAAAAGCAAAAGTAGTATAAATGACTTAGTATAATCATGAACAACTTTTTTCAAGAACGGAATAGAACAAATTGCGTTGCTAAACAGTTTCGTAAATACACTCTTAAAGAAGAAAGATTAAATTCAAACGCTGACTTATACTTTTTAAACAGAAAAATAAACATGAAACCTTTTAATACAAATAAAAATATGTTATAATATTACACAAACAGTTTATAACACAGCTGAAACTTCGATATATCATCAAATACAAATTTTGCATCATAAAAATTTAGAGAATTTTAGTTACACTGTAAATATATTTTAATTATATTCGATGTTTATTTTAATTATATTCATCATGCAATATCCCTTCTGTTCTAGAGAAAATCAGGCTGCTCTGAAGAAAGAATGTTTTTGCGAATTTTGAGAGAAAAATGCATAAATAAGGCTTTTGTATAAAGTTCTAAAAATTAATTCCGGTGAAATATTTAACTACAGTTATATGAAAATATTCGACAGATTTGCAACAATTCAGCAGTCGCCACATTTTTATGGTTCTGAACAAAGAATGTTCATTAAGTTTGCCCTAATCTCAAGATAAATATGAAACAAATCAAAAGAAATATATGCTTGGAAAATTCATGCAAATAAATTAAGCTCACCTTTGACGTCTAAACCACCTCTATATTTATCCCAACTTTTCAGTCGTATTTTCTCTCCTAATAAATTCACGAACTTGTCGAAATCCTTTGTGCCGGTCTCTGAAAAGAAGTAAAAACTCTATTTATAACTTGAAATCAAGTCAGGTAAACAGCTGAAACACAAACGAAACTCCTGCTATTCGGAAATTACTTCACAAAATTCTCACAAGAATGGAAGAAGGCTAAACGTGTTTTATTCAGATAAACTCATTCACTGCAAATTGCCAACGTGAAAGACAGTTCGCATGAATGCTTAGGAATAACATTTATTCCCTCTCTTAACTTTGAACATTAAAAGATATAATGGTATTTGGCTTTAAAAATTTTAGCTTTGCGAAAATTTAAAAATAAAGTTAAGTAACTTACAAAAAAATGCAACATTAATTTTATTTATTACTTTGTGAATCTCTTCGAAATCTATTCACTTTTACACATTTATCTTTCGACAGCTTTGTTTACTCATTTTATGAACATCCTTTGAATGTTTAAATGCTTAACAGATTTTATGAAAAGAATTATTAAATACAGATTGATAGAGAAGTGGAGTAGATAAAAGTTTTCTTTAAAGGGAAGAATGTCTAACTTTTTATTGGATTTAATTTTATTTTAATGATATTTTATGTTTCTAAAAACGTGACTGTTCATTTACAGACGATTCATAATAGCAATATTCAATATTTGCGTTCATTGTCTTCTGATGCATTTAATTTGTAAACACAAGAAATGACATCTATAATTAGATAATTTTGCTACAGTTGTGGAATTACGGTTTCCGATGGCAGTTAAAGTTTCTTTGAATATTCTCTCTTTTAAATTCAATGATTAAACAGATTCACCTCATTTGATAAGAATAAAAAAGAATCTCACTTCTGCAGTAAATGCTGCTTTTCAGCATTATTTTGCATTGAAATTTAACGCTGGAAAATTGTAGCCTGATTTGTCTTTAAAAATTATGTAAATACGGCATCGCGTTAAATAGATCATTCTAAAACCTTTAACGTCCACATCAATTAAATTAATCGCTTTTGCTTAAAATGCTTTTATTTTTTAATTAATATTCAAGCATGACGCTCATAAGCGTTTAAGTTCCGAAATGAAAAACATTTAAATATTGTCAAGCAGAAGGAATGTATAACTAAAGGAACTATCAGGTTATTGTTCAATTATGTCCTTAACAGTACTCTAAATCTAATTAGCAGAATTAATTCTACAGGAAGTACAGAATTTTTTCTTTTGCTTTCAAAATATCACCTAAAGAACACGAACATTCATTTATAGTTAAAAATTAACAGAAATGCAAACGCCTTTCTCTAAAACATGAGTGATTATTTCCCTTCTTTGTTTTCCCAGTCAATTATTGCGAATTAAATTTTGCAGCGACATCTAAGTGCTACTTGCCTATAATCAATCTACTACGAGTAATTCTCAAGTTCTGTTTGGAAAAAAAAATAATTATATCTTGTTTCTGGGGGGGGGGAATAGTTAAATTTCATGAATTTAGAGTCGCGTATTTTTTATTTTATTCTGTATGACCTGCCATTCAGAAGTGATTTTCAAGCCCTGTTTTATTTTCCATTCTGATATGAAAGCATCTTGATTTGACATCATTGTGAGGTGCAGTGTCAATTCACTCAAAAGGAGATTTTATCAGTTTATTTCAGCATACTGATACAAACATTGGAATTCTAAATGGTATATTCTCCGTGTAGAAGATAAATCCAAAAGCAAATAAATAAGTATATTTTATGGATTTTAAGTAGGAGTGCATCAGTCACACAAAGTCGTACTATTTTCTAGTTCAAAACTTAAGTTTTGAATATTTTGAAAATAACCAGAAGCATAATATAATTTATATGTACGCATTCAAAACATTTCTTACGCGGCAGGATCTGCCTTTAATAGACATTTACACTGTTTTTAGATACTTGATTAATATTTGAATGCAAACCTTAAATGTATTATGTTCAATTGAATAACTGGGACCTCGTCATGTGAACTCGCCATAAAAAAATTTTAAAAACTGAAATATCTCCACGATAAATCAAAACTCTGTGAAGAAAATAACAGAAAAATGACAGTTAAATGACGAATTCAACTACTTAATCAAATTTACTATTACTCTAGTACCTGCAACATTTGCAAGATTATGAAAATTGCACATATTTATAAATTACAGGAGAATTACTATACACAAATTAAATTTTGTTCATTTGTCTGTTAGCTCGTTTTTTATTTGAAATTGTCAACGGTAGAAAACTGATACTTAAAAATGTTTATTTTAATTTACAAATTTGAGAAATTACTGAATATTCACTGCATAATCTAAATGACATAAAAGAAAGAATGCTTCTGAAAAATTTGTATACCACGGAATTCACAGCATGGAGTAGCAAATAACAAAGAAATCCTTAAAAATATGTTTTTATTTTATTACGCAAATTTTTAACATTATTATATCGACTAGATTGTACTGAAGATCAGAATCCTTGATGTACAGCAATGTTTCTCAAATTCACGCACGCGGAAAATCATCCCAAGTTGCCATTCTTTTTAGAACTAACTACCGATTTACTAGGAGCCACGTCAAAAATATTTTTATTTCCTAACGATTAAAAACCACAAACCATGAATCTGCGTGAATCTGAATTCTGCTATACTATTCAAGTTCTTTTGTAAGTATTTTGCTTTGATACCATTTACAATTTAGTTTCTTCGATTCTAATAATATTTAATCTTCCGTTAATTTCAATATATTCTTATTTTGAATAGTAATTTAATTAATGTAATCTAATGAATTTATTCACTGCCACTCCAAGCTTTAAGAAGTTGGCTTTAAAATCCTCAAGTTGACGAAAATGCTACCAATAAGTGATGTCTTACAATTCCACAAAGAAACCTCTTACTTTGAACCTTTTCTTCCAGTATATATTCAATTCTTCCAGTATATATCCAATTCGATATTGGATCCATCCAGCGCTGGTAGAATTTTCCGTGTGTAACAAATTGAAAAGTCATCCTTCTATGCGGAATTTTATTGTCATAACCCTTCTGTGCTAGATCAAACTCTCGAAAATGCAAGTAAAGTTGTAATAACATTTTTGATTACTAAAAGTGTATTATATCCCTTTCTTATAATTTTCAACTACTCTTGGATTAACAATGACTTAAATTAGCGTAGACACTGTCTCTGGCATTCATCAGTAAAATGAGTTCACTTACTCTCAACGTTTTGCGAAACTTTCAGTATAAGTAAACTTTCATATAAGTAAACTTTCAATATAAGAAAACTTTTAACTTAAGTTTTCAGTGTGAACAATCAATCATCCAGATCTCTAGGCTCGAACACTCTGATATTTGGCTGTGGTTCTAATTGAAGTGTGTGTGTATAATCTATGCTACTGACCGTAGAAAAGATGCTAAGATCCCTAAATGTTTTTGTTGTTTGTTTTTATTACTACTGCAAAGTATAGAAGGGTTCTCATCTTAAGAAGAGATATACTTCCACGCAAGATACTTTAGCGGAAACTGGCCAGTATTTATGTTTACTTATGGGAAAATCTAAATGCTTTTCAGGCTATTCAGAAAAAGACTTTGCTGATTTTAGCCGGTACTAGAGGCATTTGTTAGAGGTATTTTGAATCTGCTATAAATTAAGAGCCATCTGGTGGATATAAGTGGTACTAAAACATAATAAATTTCTTATATAAATATTTAAAAAATAAAATAAACACCACATTTTTATACACTTACGTGCTAATTCTCTTAGCATACATTGATACTTAGCATACCAAGATATATTTTTTTTAAGTTTTGATATTCGGAAAACTTTGTTCACAGGCTTGGTAAACACCCCTGTATTTTACTTACATTTTGCAATTTTACATTTCTTAGAAATACTTACTTCCGTGTAGTTAGAGTTTTGTTTGAAATTAAAAATTTTTAAAACACTGGTTACCTGAATTTCGAAAAAATTTAGAGAGATTCTCTCTCATAATATATGAGAAGATTTTAGCCAGTTCACAATAGAAGAAATTGAATTGTTATTCATACTACATATTATGCAGATTTGAGTTTTTTCCGTCATTAATTTTTGAATTTCATTGCATAATACCATAAATTAAATGACTGCTTTGAAATATACAGTACCAACATTTTATTACAAGAAAATTTTAGAAACGCGTATGCTTAAGAAATATGCATTTTAAAAATCATTTCCTATCATTGTAAGTGGTTTCTTTCCTCCTAAAGTCAAATTTCCAGATCAAAGTTTAAAGGAAACAAAAAATAAAGCACAACAAAAGCGCCATGAGATATGCTGAAAATAATAATGCTCAAACAGAGTAAACAATAAAAACTCCTGTTAGGGAGAAAGTAAAAATCCCGACTGAAGAACAATTTTTATCTTCTGGTACACACTTTATTCTTTCATTTCTTTAAAAGAGTTATTCTGAAAAGAATTTACCTTTTTCTTTCTTAGTATTTGAAAGGAGGAGGGAAAGCATGCATAATAGAATCAGTTAACATTGTTATATTTTGTACTCTTGAATAAATTCTTTTGATTCACAGCAACAGACAAAATAAGTATCTCCTGAAACTGATTTTCATACATGTATTTCGAAAACGAATAACAAATTAAATTCATAAGAAAATTCATTTAATCTAAGCATAAACACATTAATAAAAATTGATCGTTTTCAAAGTCTGCTATTCTGCACTGAAAAGTTATATTTACTCTCGTACGCAACTTCTTTCTGTCTTCCTTGAACATATTTCAATCAAACATAATAATAGCTTAGTTTCGGATTTATACGACAGAAAAGAACTAAATGATAATTTCAGCCTCTGGCATTCATTTGAAATAAAATGTAATATATATCTCGACAAAAATGTTACAAGATTTAGCTTTCTATAAACCAAGTCATGATTGAATGAATCACTTATGTCAGGAAAATCAACTTCTAAAGTTTTAAGAATTAACCTTCAATCAGTAAAATAAAATATAAGTGTCTAGCTGGTACAGTTGCATCCTAAGGGCCTAAAAATAAAATTCCACTTCCTGCAGCTTTTCCCAATTGTGTAATAAATTATTCACAGAAATGTTTAAAAATTTCATTTAGAGAAAAAATATGTCCCAGAATTTTCTCCAGAAGAAAATAAAAACTACCAAAATACACATGATGAACTTCCCAGTCAAACTTAGGAAAGAGTTTTAGGTAAAACATGATGCATCTTACCATGGATACTAAGGAAACGTGCCTTTCAAAAGATGAAGTGAAAATATAATTGGGATGACATGATAAATAAAAGCATACAAATACAAGAATAAAAATCGTGGCAATTTTACTGCAAGAGTACATTAAATGAGAAGACTATGCTTATTTTATATCAGCAGATCAGAGTATTATAAAACAACAGATTCTAATCTCTGATACAACCTTCGATATTGTCCGAACTATCTTACTAAGCTTTTGCAATTTATAAATATCTTCATCTTAGCATTAAACATAATTTCTACTTTGCAGAGAACATAACTTATGACACATTAGAAAGGGTTTAAAAGCTTTTAGAATTTAAAATAAATACACCATTAAAATAAACGTAACGATGAGTGACTATCACCACCTCTATAGAATATGCAATTTCAGACTTGATGAAAAAGGATGAGTAATTAAAAGAAGCCGTGAGCTGTCTAAATAAAAATAATATACATTGATAAAAACTACACACTAACAGAATTTTATAACCATAAGTTACAGCTGTTAATGGAAGCATAAATATAAAATTATAAATAAAATAAAAAGGCAAAATATTTAAACATATATTTAATATCATGTTACCTGCCTTTATGAGTATATTGTTATGCTAATTAATTCTTAATTTTCTTATGTTATAAAACTAAAATAACAGGTAAGCACAATGATCGAAACAATAAAACCGAATATTTACCATTGCTAAACATTTCGTCATCCGTAGTTTGGCGGGCTTTGGCAAATAAGACACCAAATTTAAAATTCACAGATCCCTATAAATGAAAATGACTTTCTGAACTATAATTATCCACAAATATATAAAACAGCATTGCTACTAAGAGAAGAACGGAACATAAATTTAACATTAAATACTTTTTGTCTTAGACATTTTGCACAATAATTCCACATATATTTCTAAAACATTTTTTTTGTTTTTCAAACTTATGGCACGTAAAGATAGTGAAGTTTATATGCAAGTGCTAAAATATGATACAAGAAAATTGTACGCCATCTTTATATCTAAATTTTTAAAGATCATCTAAATACACTCATGTCCATAAATTAAGGATAATGCAAAAACAGGAAGAGTTAGAAGAAAAACAAATTTGACTTATTTGTAAAGCTTATTTATAAAACAAAAGGTTAAGAGCAAAATAAGATGCTATATGTTTGATATTATTACAAAAATTAGTGATTTTTCCACCCTGGAGCAAATTACAAAAAAAACCTATTTACAAGAAACCAATATTACATGGTTGGTACGATTGTTAATACATTGTATGTCTCCCAGACCATGCAATACAGTCCGTACAACGCCTACGCATGCTGAGTATCAAATTATCGATCTGATCTTTGGGAATATTACACCACTCAAAAAGCAATGCTCTCCGAAGTTCCGGTAGATATGTAGGAGGAGGTTGACGGGCTGCAACTCGTCGGCCAAGCATGTCCCACACGTTCTCTACTGGATTCAAGTCCAGTGAGAATGCTGGCTAGTTCATACGGGTGATATCCTCCGATTGAAGGCATTCGCTTACGATGTCTGCGCGGTAAAGACGGGCTCTTGTCATCCATAAACACAAATTGTGCGCCCATGGAGCTCCGAAACAAACGTACATGTTGTTCCAGAATGACGTCCCCGATAGATTTGGCTTGTCATAGTTCCAATTTGAACATGCAGGTCAGTTCTGAAACCCAGAATAATTCCACCCCAAACGAGCACTCCTGCACAACGGTAAAGGTGTCGTTTAATGATGTTTTCTTGGTGGTAACGGGTACCTGGAGCTCTTCATATGAAAGTCCGGCGAGAATCAGACTGCAAGCTAAACCTGGCCTCGTCGGAAAACATCACACAAGCCCACTGCTGCGGTGTCCACAATGTATGCTCTTTACTCCAGGCTAACCGCAGGCGACAGTGAGTTGCAGTAAGTGGAACGCATCTGACAGGTCTACGAGCATATAGACCAATCTGCCCTAAGCGCCTGTACACGGTCTGCCTTGAAATTGTCGCACCAGTGGCTGAAGAGAGCTGACGAAACAGGTCTGAGGCTTTGCTTCGCCAGTTCCTTTTGGCAGTAACTGCCAAATACCGGTCCGCACTCGCCGTTGTAACTCTGGGGCGACCTGTGCTGTAACGTCTACTCACATTACCATCATCTTGGAATCATTGCCAAAGCCTGGAGATAACACTCTGGGCAATTCCAAGTTCATATGATACTTCCAGTTGAGTACGCCCACATTCCCGACGGCCGATAATTCTACTACGTAAAAAATCATCCAAATGCGTGCTTTGTGTCGTAACTATTCGGTTATTTTACTGAAATGCTTATAAAGCGCCTGCGAACAATTTTACTTCTTTGACTGTATTCCTTATATATCACTCTCTTACACTCTCGTCATTGTGACGTACCATCGGTGTCATCTGGTTACTTCCATGAAATTGCATAATGATTCTGAAGATGTTGTAGTGATTTTACAGGTGATATATTTATTTTAGAGTTCAATTTCCGCGTGACTCCGAATTATCCTTAATTTATGGACATGATTGTAATATGTGCATTTTCAGATTTCCTGAAATGCATCAATGAGTTTCGAAAAGGCATTATTCAACAACAGACTATCCTTTTTAAACGCGCTCATTTCTTTCATCTCTGAAATAAGAATTTGCCAAAGTGCATTAAACGCTTGAATTTTAATAGGAATCTCAAAAGCCTCCCACTTAAGTAATATTTTAATTTGCTAAAGCATTTCCATTTTATTTAATACACAAAATAACCAAATAAAGCAAGCATCATTTAAATTATTGCCTTTAAAGATGAATATAATGCAGCTTTCTGCAATGTGATGGGAAAATGAATGAATTTCAAAACAGAGTATTTTAAGATTAAAACGGTCTAAGAAATGCAAACAGAAAGGCGGGTTGAAATAAAGTAAACGGACTGAAATTAATTAGAAAATGGAATCTGAAACAGAAAACTAAAAAATAAAAACTTAGTTAAACATTATTATGAAATCTGAGCCAAGGATAATAATTTTAATCTCATAAATTTTTCAGATTTCGTTGAATAGCATGAACTTAAACAATTACTTAAAATATTAAAAAACGTATTTTAATTGAATTATCCAACATTAGCATATATTTCTTTAGAGTAAGTATTTTATGATTAATTTCTAAACGAAAAACTTTTACTTAGCTAAAAACTCGAAATTTTATAATTCACGATGATGACAGTAAATAGGAAAGTAATTTCATTGTGGGAAAAAAAGATAAATTCTTGGGTTGATTGAGTAATAGATATTTTAAGCGAATGTTTATAGATTTAGAAGTTATGCTAATCTGTTAGTAAAAATTTCTCTATCGAGGAATAGCACTAACAGCCTCGTTTTCAAAGTATGCCAGATACGAAACAGTTATGTAAAAAAGAATGATATAAAAAGAATTATATCGCATTATTAAAAATAACGAACTTAATAAACCAGTGGACACCCGCTTGATATAAGCAATTTAGACAAAATATGGTGCAATTTCAAAAGTTAGTAAAATACGTTTTTCTCAGCATATACGGACACAGCTCACATAGTCATCAACAACTGTATATGACTATTACACAATTACTAGCGGTTTGCATGCCATCTTACTGTAATGCCGTGGAGTCACTGTTTACTTGTAATACTGCATCGCAGAAGGAAAACATTTTTTTATACGTATTCCATTTCGAGATTTCCAGAGCTATGATTACGCGGTAACAAGGGTTCCAAGCACGGCTTAAAATTGACGTTGCACAGTGCTTCTTGAAACGTCAGTATTTTCTGCTTAGCTGCGATAAAGTGCACCTTTTCCTGAATATGTTGGAACATTCATAGTTACCGCAAATGAATATCAGCGATTACATTCTGTCTAGAACTCTTTCGTCCCTTTTCACATTAAAGTGTAAGCGATTTTCAATTGTGTTTTTGCACAGTGCTATAAATGAAATCAGCTTCTTCATCCGTCGAATCTCACATCATGGATTTTTTGCTTTGTTAAAGATAGTATTTACGTACCGTCACTGGCAGTGTATATCAGGTACAAGATAGTGGATAAGTCACCAGAACTTAACAACTAGTCTTGTAGGTATAGCTCCACCGCACTAACAATGCAATTTACTCCCGCTATTGACGAAGAACCTTCCGGGAGATGGATACGAGAGTCTCCCAACTCTCTTCTACTACCACTTGAGGTAACTTTCGGCTCGCCAGTGTTCTGAGTAGCTCCATCTGCACAAACACTTAACTTACAACATCCATCGGTACCCAACGATATGGTAGCTGGCATCGCTAGGCACTATACTGACCAGAGCGGCTTGTCTATCTAAGACATTCGTGCTCGAATAACGCATGCGCTGTACATCATTACACCGTACATAATACAATAAATAAGTTTTGAATGAATTTGATTACCATGCGGATTTAGTTAAGGATTGCAATCAAGATATAATAAACTTATCATAAAAAATCTGATCATAAGAAATCTCTGATCTCTGATCATAAGAAAACACAAAGAATACTGAAGTAACAATCAGTTGAAGCTGATGATGGTGTATCTTGTGCCCCTGTAAAGTGGATAACAGTTTTCTTGTTAACGTTTGAAACAGCATCGTTATTTTGTGTATGACCTACAGCAAAATGACTTTTCATCATGTTTCAGAAAATTAGTAAACTTTCGATGGCATAAAATTCTTGAGATAAAAAAAAAGTATACTCCTTTTCAAACACGAAATTCACAATTAAATTAGTCTGCGTTTTCGGATATAAGTTAGTAGTAAGTAACAAAGAAATTAAAAAATAATAGAAAAAATAACTGATACTCATGGGTTTATTTCATCCTCGGGGGCTAATTTAATATTTGCAATAGATCTCAAAACGTGTTGTTTTTGTTATGAAAATTTGTTTTAGTTTATGAATAAATTTTATTAAAATTTTTATATTTTTATAGAAATTATCCAAAAAAATGAATGGCAAGATCTGTGTTTAAGCCACAAAATAATGCGTATGACTAACTGAACGCATTTATTTAATTTCTTTGTGTCATATACTTGTAGAGTAACAGCTGCTAATTTAATTGCGATGGAATTTTATATTTTAATTTCATTGTGAACCACTTTACAGACGGATCTGGAATACATGATTACAACCAAAAATACCACCACAATTGGACAAACAGATATGATATAGTAGATAATTATATAAGCAAATGTATTATGATTGATTTGAATATTAATATAAGTCGTTCAACTTACAATACGAAAGATAAAATATATTAATAGTAAAACAAAATTATTTGAAGACTATGTCTCAGCTTAAAAATAAGGCATTTCTCACAACATAACATACATTTATACATTTTGCTTTACACAAATATTGATCCAAAAAGCATTTTCATCAAATAAATGATATTAAAATATTTGATATATTTTTGATTCACAGATTTTAGCGTTTTCTTTGTAGGGACAATTTACCCAAATAAATAAATTAAATTTAACATTTAAATAAATGGACAATTAGACAAGTAAATAAAAAATAACTTAAAAAAATTAAATTTAAATAACCTCTAAACTTGTTATTGTTATAAAAAACGTTTAAAGACCTGTTAGTGACAACGGTTCTTTATAAGTTGTTTTTTACAATCATCACTGTCAGAAGAAATACGTTATCTCTTCCTTTTCTTAAAATTTATTCTCCTTCCTTGTATCTGTTTCTTCTTCATTTAACATCAAATTTAAATTTTTGCATGCTTCTGAAACACGCAGAAAAATAACTAGGAAGTTAAATTATTGCATTATCTTTAAAGAGTGATTCAAAAGTTCGCGAATTTTGATATAAAATATTTCTGTGTTTATTTTCACGTTGATTTATTTTGATTTAGTTGCACATTAGTTCCTAGACGAAACATGTTTCATTGAAATTCGTTCCTAGCTTCCTTGAACTGATTTCAGGAACTCATTTAGTGTTGTACTGTTCCTGATTTAGTGCTGTAAACTATATCCCGTACGATAATTTAGTTGTACAGTACTCGTAGTTAGAACAAGAGTAAACAACAAATATTTTTTCAGAAGATGCTGGAAATGACCACCATATAATCTTCAATAAAACAAAGCCCAATAACGGCATATGTTGCTCGATAAATTGTTCAAAATGCTACGAAGACTATTACGGATCGCCATTCTGATATTCTTTAGAAGATATTTCAGGTTCTAACAGAGCAAGACCTGTTCTTGCGTAAGACTCATGACGTCCTGACTGTTCTTTCCTCCATTTCCATACACTGCGTTTTGTATTTTTGTCCATAACACGGTTATCGCATATCACTACGCATGAGGATGGGAGAAACTTTTCTGAGAAACGAGCTTCTCCTTCTCCTACCAATGGATGGTTCCTAGCCGGTACATGTTCCGCTGAAATTAATATATCGACAATCTACCTGGGACATTTTGCATTTGAAATGAAAATGTTTAGCCTCAAGATTTGTTCCCAGTAGGTTTTCTTCAAAGAGATAGTTTTCACTGAAGTCAACCATTCATACATCCCCAAAACTAAAATTTTGCAAAATGTTTCTTTCGATGCGTTGTTGAGTGTAGGTAGCATATATGATACCTGTTTTATGTGCATGGACATTTAAGCGGAGGTCAAACACAGATATTCGAAGCTGCTATATTTGCAAATGTTTTTCATTGTTACAGTAAGTAACATTTACAATGAGAGTTTGAGGACTTTTGAGTAGAACTATATTTTTTAAGTTCTTTCTGTAAACAATCGTATTTTACGCTAGAAGGAAAACAAGGAATTCTGATGTAATGTTCGTATCCGTTTTACAGGCAATAAATTTTCTGTTTTTATTTGTTGAAATTTATTTACTGCGGTACTTTAATGCATTATCTAAATTGTGGGTGACAAGTAAACTAAAGTGACGATAAAGCTTACATTTTCAGGGTAGAAATATAAATGGATATAACAAAAATGACTTCTCACCTCTTGTTCTTCTAGAAGCAACAGATCCTGCAAAGAAAATAAATGCATGTAAGTGAAAGGCTAGGAAAAATTAGCGAAAACATCCTCAATTCTAAAGTTTGTTATTTACACTGCCCCATGCAATAAATATATTCTCAGTTAGAAGATACTTCGTTTCACGTATAAAATAGCTGCAATATATTATATCAATTATGTATAAAATAGCTGCACCTCATTGGTGAGTGACTAAAGCCACTCTAAATGCTAGAATTTGGATTAAGTTATTTAATCACGGAAATGCGCGAAAACATTATCCGTCAAAGAGGAAGCATAATTTCAGGGCAAATTTTCTATGCATTATTAACTCATATTTACGTTATGCGAACTAGTGACGAAAACTACAGAAGTCCAACGCAATCAGTCCTTCTTGTCGTAAGAATATGGGACTTCCTGAGGTTGCGCAGTTTTAACCTTTACTACTACTACTACAGGCTATTAGTGCAGCAGACCATACAGACTTACCTTAATTAAGGTACCAGCGAAGAATTACCATTAGCCTCTCGGCCACTGACAAATCTTTGCTGATAATTTGTCCGGGTATCTATCAGATTGCGTGGAGCTTTTGCGGTTCTCCCATATGTAACATAGTAAATAAATATTAGTTTGCATCAGGAAGTCCTCCACGAAAGGATTCCTAATTTTTGGCAAATAGTTCTTGAGTGCCATTATTATTTCAGAGCAGTTTGCGGAAAATTAAAAGTAAAGAAATGTATTATGAAGAAACCTAAAAGTATTTTAATTTTTTAGGAATCTTTCAGTCTATACTCTAATGTGTATTAATGTTACGCACACTTTAGTAAATATAATTTGCCTAAAGGTGTCGCGACAAAGTTCTAATATGGCTTAGGTATAAAATTATACATAACTATAAAAGGAGTTTTTCATTATCTTCTTTCTAAAGAATATGTAAATGAAAAGCTATAACAAAAAAAGTATATTTCAGCTCAAAATTTTGCTTAATTTGTATACTCATTTTGTTTTCATTACAGAATGTAATTTTTTCCATAAAAAGGGATATACTTTGCAATTGTGCTTGTTCAATATGAGTACTCAAGTTTACTGAAGAAATAATTTACAGTGAAGTATCAAGCAATTGGGGGTAGATTAACTGGGTTGCAATTCAATCAGTTATTGCCTAGAAATAAGGTTACGTTTGTTTTCATTCTGAAACGTTGCCATCAGACACCAATCATACAGCCTTAGAATAAAGTAACATTTCTAAGGTAAATACAAAAAGGAGTAAAAAATGAGTAAAATGACGTCAGTGACAGCAAATTATGTCACAGTATATAGAAATGGTTTTATCCACAACACCACGTAAACAGTACATAATATGGAATATCTAAATAGTATTAAATCATCCATTAAAAATAAATTGTTGAATCGCAAAATTAAATTGAATGTACATCTATTAATATTCTATTTTCCATCGAGTTCTATCGAAATATATGAGCAATAAATGAAAAGCATTGTTTTTTGTAGTTTAACGAAATATATGAGTAATAAATAAAAAGCATAGTTTTATAGTTGTAGTTTCTTATTTCAAAATAAAATGACTGAACGCCGATTTTATTTGCAAAACCAAATGAACATATTCTTCAAATTTAAACTGATTAAAAATATAAGTAAATTGTTAATAGTACGAGGGTTGGAACTTTAATAGTGGCAACTATTTATTTACAAGGAATACAAAAGTGATTCATGTCACCATGTTTTACAGTCCTCCAGGATAGTCACCAGCATTGTGTACAACCCGTTTCCAACGATGTGGAATTCGCAGAATACCGGAATGCACGCCCAGCGTGCAGACCACCACACCACGAAGGCATGCCAAGAAGGCGGGGAAAATACCTTATAACGTGATTCAACATTGTCAAAGATTTTGTTTGATTATTCATTCAACAAGCATACAAAGATTTTGCTTAATAAGGTAATGTAGAGTTAATTGTCTATTACCTGACAAGTTTGCATTACATCTCTTTCATTTAATTCATTTGAAAATGACAACCGGTGATGTTAGATATATTTATTATATCATGGCATCAGAAAATAGACAAAAAGACCTGCACGTTAGTTTCGTACCGAAAGAAGCTAGGAATTTGCTTAGAATTGTGGTTAATGAACTAAACTTCAAACAGCAAATTTAAATAAACTCTTTCAACTAACTGAAAATCTTTCATTTTTTTAAGTTGAACTTAATACAAATGCATAAGCTCCGACAATAATGAATAAGTGACATCAAACTTAAATATATTACGATGATTAAGGTTTCTTGACTTCCTTACACCATTCAACATTTAAACTATATTATGATGTAGCAATTAACCGATATTTAAATTATGTTTAAACAACTAAGAATTTTTGTCTGTGCATGTTACTGTGCATTAAGAAATATCTTATTTTCCGGCATATTTTTGAATTAATTGAGAGTAATCTGGAATTGGTCTTCTGTTACTCTCAATGTTGAAAATTTTTCAATAAATTTCAATAATAATAAGTAAAGGAACAAATTTCAATAAACTTAACAAAAAAATTCAGCAACTAAATTACCGCATTTATTAAAAAATAAGCCTCCCTTACAGCACTTCAGGATAAATTTCAAGAAATAAAAATTGTGGTGCACATTTGGTAAGAGATAATTAGAATTCATTTGTTTCTGACTAGAATGAAAGGCAAGATACTTAATTAAATACAATGTTTTACACTGAATAGAAAGGAAACCGAAGAAAAATTACTTATACATAATTACCTATTTGATCTTGGACAAAGTAGTAAACAAAACAATGGTAATGCAGGCATAAACTGAAATTGCTCCATAAGACGTGGATGGTAAAATCAGCGGTATTATGCAGTTTATATATACGGTAATTACTTGTATGATTTATTAGGAATGTTAACAGTGTAATTATTATACGATGTGATAATTAAACTTCTTGCTCTCATTCGGCAGTTTCAAAATATTGCTTTATAAGAACCTACCGGACTTAAATAAAATTAGAATTAAAAAAAATTAGCGTCAAATGCAAACGAGAGGGAGAGTAGTGTTTAAATCGAAGTTCCACTGACTTTCGACGGAGAGAATTAGATATCCTGAACAGCGTGCATTTGCCTTTTGACTACGTCTCTCTAAGCTGTTACCACGCTCGGCCGTATTACGTGCCCTTGATAGCTTCGCTAGCTAATTTAAATTCACCGGCCAACTAATTGAGTATTTGTGTTAGCTTCGGCTAAATCTCTTTAGTTAGTCATTAGTTAGTTCTTATTTCTTATAATTTTAAGCCCAGGTGGAGGCTTTGTTGTACGCCCTGAGAAAAGGACCATCTATGAATCTTTATTTTCAGCAATAATTAACCCTCTTTAAAATTTACGTTTCCATTCCTGAACTTAAGCGATTATTCGTTTAGCTGTTCACTAGGTTCCTCAACACATAATTAACAGATAAGCAGGAGGAACATTACAATATCAACATTCAGTTTCCTTAAAGATGGCTGAAAAAGTATTTTTGGTCTTTTTGTTATTCTCTTTTAATGTGTTAACTTTATTTATTAAATATCACGTTCTCTGCAGTTACACTATATAACATTTTAATTATTTATATTTAAAAATAGCACATCTTTAGGATTTCCAATAGAGTGTTAAAGGTTGCCATATATATATATATATTCGCTATTTTTTTAAATCTAGCCGCCTAAAATAGTTATAATAAAAAAGAAAAAGTATATAATGATTTTAATGAGTACAGATGGTATAATTTCGTAAAAATATTGAATATTTCTAATTAGACATCTCATGATTAAGAACTGTGTTTATTGCTTTTGAAAAAACTCACAAAAAGTTTCATTTAACAAGCTCATTTATCAGGTTTCAGATACTACATATGAACCTACCACTGTTCAGCGTTCTGAGCCCCTCTGGCATAGGTAGGCCAGTATTCAGTAATCATTCCCAGCAAGCGGTTTTCCAAATAAAAACAAATTTTAAAATAAAATAAATTCTACTGTGAACGATATCTGACGAAAATGGACAGAGTTACAATTTTACTATGAAAGAATTTTGAAAACATGTAAGTAAATAGTAAATATGCCTGTAAAAAGAATCTTTTGTGAGTAATTTTTAATATCTCGAAATAAGGGTAGTGCTTTCACGTAAAGTATTCTTTAAGTGGTGCTACTTAGGGCTTAAAAGAGAAAGGATATCCAACTACGGAATGTATAATATGTTTTCATTGAATCAGTAATAAAAAGGAAAATATTTACAAAACTTTGCCAGTAAATGCAAACAAGATATTTAAAAAAAGAATACATAAATTTTTTTGAATATTATTTCATACCCTGTTGTCGCTTCTTACTACACTTAGAAAGGAAGTAAAATTCGAAATACGTTTTTGACCTCTACTCAAAATTTAAATTGAGCTAGTTAGCTAAGCGAAGTTGCTCTAGAAATGACTACGTGATGTAAAACGACAGTAAAACTGAGTTTCATAAAAGAAATAAATACACCGAGTGCAATTTGCCACGTAGTTTAGAAGCAGCTGCATTTATTCCCGAAAATATCAAAATACACATCTTACCAAGTAAACAAATGAATAGGTGTGCCATTAGCAGAGTAAGAGCTTTTTGAGAATATGAGACAGTTAAATAACTTCAGATATACTTATAAAGCAACAACAATTCTTCAAGCGCAAAGCTGATAGCTTTGAAAGCAAAATTCTTATTTGAAATGTAAACAGATTTTTAAGTGAACATTTTGTTTACTTATGTGACTCTACGCTTAGTTAAATATTTATTTCTGCATAAATATTTAAAATAATTTCTTCATAAAATTAAAATGGTACCAAATTAAAAGAACTGCATTATTATTACTAGCCTCAAGAGAGTGAAGCTTTACGGTTAAAGTAAAGTTACTGGAGCGGGTTCATTTAACATTGAGGTAAATGGCTATCTCGCGAAATTGGCGACATATCGCCAAGATGACGACGGTTTTGGTGA